AGAGTCCAGCGCAGAGCTACTAAGATGATTAAGGGAGTGGAACCTCTCCCTTATGAGGAAATGCTGAGGGAGCTGGGTCTCTTTAGCTTGGAGAAAAGGAGACTGAGGGGTGACCTCATCAATGTTTACAAATATGTAAGGGGTGAGTGTCAGGGAGATGGAGTTAGGCTTTTCTCAGTGATGACCAGTGACAGGACAAGGGGTAATGGGTGCAAATTGGAGCATAGGAGGTTCAAGGTGAATATCTGAAAAAAAAAATTTACTGTAAGAGTGACAGAGCACTGGAACAGGCTGCCCAGGGAGGTTGTGGAGTCTCCTTCCCTGGAGACATTCAAAACCCACCTGGATGCGTTCCTGTGTGATGTACTCTAGGTGACCCTGCTCTGGCAGGGGGGGTGGGACTAGATGATCTTTCGAGGTCCCTTCCAACCCCTAGGATTCTATGATTCTATGATTCTATATACTACTGCACCTGTTTTAGGAATAAATGTATAAGCAAAGTTACATACCTATGTCAATTTTGGGCAGAACTGCAGCCTTACAGAAGCTAGGGTTGAGTCCAAGCTCTAAAGCATAATAAGGAAAAAAATCAAGAACAGTGAAAAAGAAACAGTGGTATTTCTTTCAAAGAAGGACTTCAATAAAATCTGTGGCATTGTAGTCTTCAATGAAGAAGTTATTAAAGCAGATCTGTATCCTATCATTTTTAGTATAGATTATTTAGAGACTGAAACACAAAGTTGCAGCTGTCACCATTTAAAATGGTGAGAAGCATATGTTGGTACACTCAGTAATTATAGATCATCAAATATTTATCCTTCATAATTGGCTAGTATCATGTCATGTTTATTACAAATGATCAATGACTCTCACTAGAAAGATGTAATAAAGAAAACACTTGATTAAGTTCAGATTTAATAAAAAAAATATTATATAGGTTTTAGATAGTGTCCAACTAGTTAATTTTTATTTACTGGAGCAAAATTATTCTTTTCCCCCACTATTATCCATATATGTGGCCTTTGGAATCTCATGTAACTGAGATCTCTTATACCTATTGTTTTTCAACTGTAATATTACCTGAAAGATAGTTACTATACTGAATTCACATTAAATTTGTTTAAAAACATAATGTAGATTAGAGCATTAATGAAATAAATCCTGAGAAGAGACATTCAGTTTCCGTTATTATTAGGGACATAATTACCATTGTTTTCAGGGTTGTGCAAGAAGTGAATTCATGATTGTGCTTCCTTTTTTCCTTCCTTTTCAGCTAAAAAAGAAATAATGTCAGCCCACCTGAAAAGTTTAGTTCTGTTAGAAAATAAGTTTGAAAGCAGTTACAATTGATGAATCTTTGGTAATGTCTAGTGTAAAAGTATTCCCTCTGTGACCTGAAATGACACAGTATGGACTGTGTAGTAATCCTATATGTAAACACTGGCATTTTCAATAGTGTGTTCATCCTGACCCAATTTTGCAGTTACTAGAGATACTCCTACTTTATTCTACTCTGTAAGAGCATGCAATTTTCTGGAGTTTCTCAGCACTCGGCACCAAAACTATTGTGTTGTTTTATGTAAGTCTGTTTAATTTCTCTGAAGTGCATCCAGGAAATTGTTCAGATTAAAAGGTTTGATTTGAATGGTTTGGTACGTCTCTGTCAAGAAAATGTGGTTTTTACACTTTGGTTTGTTTTGTTATAGAACGCCTAATGCCATCTGTTCACTTCAGATGGATCCAGACTTGCAGGGTAAGGATTTTTCTCATTTTCTCATTTTTTACCCATCTTTTATCAAGAGACATTTCAGTGTCTGTTTGGACAGAAACTAATGAATTGTAGTGAAGTCATGCCACTTGCAGAATCTCCTGCTATAACACGTAAATGACAAAATACTCAGCTGTGCTATTCTACCTTTATTTTTGGATCTATCCTGGCACTTTCTCTGCCATTATCACCTTGGCTCGTGGAATGATCAGGCACACAGATGCCGTGTTCAGTAATTTATAATATATATTAAGATTTCACATATTCTAAGATAGGCATGAAGGATGGCCATACAATCCCTATTTGAGAGCAAAATCTTAGTAGATCTGCTATGTAGCAAGTAGCACAAAATGCAGAACTAGCAGGTAACCAGCTGGAGATGTCAGGAAACAATGCACTCTTTTCCACAGGTGTTTGGAATTAATTTTGTCAGCTTCTCAACAAAGGGCATTTATGAGTCTTGAGGTGAAATTTGACCTGCTGCAGAATGTTTACATGCTGGTTTTCTGTCCAAAGGGGAAGCTCCTTCTCTATGAGAAATGAAAGAGTTGTTATGTGCTCCCAAATAACCTCTCATAAATAATAATCTTAAAATAGTTTCTATTTAATTTGGGCTGTTTTGTTTTTTTTTTGTCAGCTGTTTTACTTTTGTGCAAGTACAAGTTAGTGACAGGCAGAGAATGCCCTACTTCAAGGCCCCATTTTGTCTTTAAGGATGGACTTGAAGGAGCAGCAGATGCCTACTAAAACAGATTACTTCTACTTAGAAGTCATCTTGTACGTGGAAGGTGTTGAGTTGGATAATGTGTATGTTTCTAACATTTGTATTTTAAAATAAGTGTTTGGAACTTAATCCATAGCCTACTGAAAACTGTGGGAGTCTTTGTGTTATTTTCAAAAGAGCGTTGGATCACTTTACTGAAGAAAGAGAACCAATGACGCGTGGAAGTCAAAACTAATTTTTCACATTTTATGACATACTACACTACATGTCCAAATAATATCACAAAACATAGTATGACAAGAGCAGGACTAAGCAGGTGATGTAGCAGATACTGGCTCATTTCTGTATCTTAGGCAGCATCTGTGAACTAGCAGAACCTGAAGTTTGCTGACTATTAATGTTAGTCTGGTACAATTGTGGGAAACCATTGCAAGTTAGAGAGTTTCATGAACTAGTTCCACTTGGTTATGCATATTTGTTGCTCATATTTGACCTTAATCAACAGTAAGTCTTCCTCTTTGAAGTACAGGGAGAAAGAGTCTCTGAGGACAGGAGGATAACTGATAAATCCCTTTCTAGTTTCTAAACTTACTGTGAACAAGTTTGTTTGTTTTTTTTTTTTGTCTTGAAGTTCTATGTATGTGTGTAAGGTACCAGGTATAGGTCATGTTCAGAAGCCCTTATTTCCCACTCAGGAAAACATCCTTTAGTGATGTGAAAGGAATGAGCTGAAATAATGTAAGTGTATAGGATTTAGTTGAGCAGCTTGAGAGGGATTACTAAGCAGACATGTCAAAAGCCAGTTGCTCTGATAAATGGCTTATCTTTGCTGAGAGTCCCAGATGTTGATCTTGACAGAAACTTGTTTAATGGTTGAAATAATATGCATCTAAACCACTAATCCTTCTGTGTAGTCTGTCAAACTGTTCCTTGTAGATAAGCATCTCTGATCAAGAAACTGTTTTGCCTGAAGAGGTATTATTCATTGTGATGTCTGAAAGCATGCATAGTGCATGTCCTTTTTTCTAGTCCGTGAATAGACTTGATTCCCAAAGACGCAAGTATGGTTTTTATGTTAAATACTATTTTTACCACTTGTCATGTCACTGGTCATAAGACTACCATTTTCCGCACAAGGCTATTGGAAAAAAAATAGAATGTTTTAGTTTTATTTCAGATTTTCAGAATTTTACTTCAGAGTATTGTGGGTTTTGATCAAGTCCAAATTTTGTATTTTTTTCTAGTTTTTCATTAAGTAATTTGTTTTCCTTTATTATTAATTTTTTTTTAAAAAACCACTCTATTGTAATGTGTGTTTGTTTTCTTTCGCAGAGGCTTTCAGTGATGTTCAGAGCTCTGTCTACAGAACAGCCCTAAAACTACGCTCAGTACAAAGTCTGTGCCAGTGTTAGTAGCTGAAGAAAACCCTGTGCTTTGACAAGGAGAAGAATCTGTACAAAAAATCTTGTTGCTGTCACCATGAGTTATTATGCTGCTTTGCTATCTCCTTTTCCACTGAGAATCTCAGCATGCATTAAGAACATTTAAGAGCTAGATAGTACTTCATATACAAGTTGATTTTTTTCCCCTTTTGAATGTCAGTGGAAATATATTAGTAAAATTCTAAAGGCATAGCAGAAACAAATTTGTGTTAAAATCTACAACCCTGTTATGTAGACATCACTGGCAATTATTAATCTTATTCTGTATGTTATTAATCTCATTAAATGTTTAGTTTTATGCTATCTATACACAGAATGAAAGCTAGGTCTATAATTTGTATGTGGTTAATCATGCTGTTTTCCTCTATAATTTGGATGGAGTTAATGGTGATATTTTATTCCCTTTCTATCCATCCCAAAGTGAATTTTAGTTGAGTTGTTTTATCTGTTTGCTACAACCACAAACCCAGCAAGACCTTTCCCAGATTATTTCCTTTTTATGTATACTGGTTTATACTTAACTTTACAGACTTGTGTTAGCTAGGTACTTCTAATACAGAGATGTTGATCTTTATTAATTTATCTCTTAATTTTCCCACAGTGGATTTGATTGATGTTTCTCTGATTCAGCACATCCTATCAAGTGCTATCAAGCAGGTCTCTCTGAAAGTGCAGCAGATCTCTGGAATGCTGATGATACTATTCCAAAGGACAAGATTAGAAAAACCAGGCCAGATCGATCCAAGAGCTGCCAAATTCACACTGAGCCTGCTAGCTGCAATGTATGACAGGTGAGAGGCAGCACAAATGTAAAGCCATCATGAAGTGCTGCTAGACTGTTTCTACCACTCTTACATCATTTCTGTATGAAACTCTCCTGTTTTGATAGTATTTTGCTTTGTATGTACACAAGGAGTAGTTCAGCTATAGGAATATGAAGCACAAATCTTCTTCAGAGAAACAGCGGTCAAATGTTTCCAAAACTATCTGGAAATTCAGATCTCTAACTTTTTCTGTGAACAGCATTACAGAGAGTAGCTCTTCCTTTGACTGCCAAGGTGTTTTGATACACTCCTGAAAAAGAATTAATCTTTGACTTTAAATTACAGTATCCATACCCAGGTCAAGAATTTACCAGTCACTTTTCATTATTAATTTTTCTCTAGCTTAAAAAGTTTGTCAAGCAATTATAAAACAAAACTATTGACTCATAACTAAGCTGACCAGCTAGCTCCTGTGAATAGCAAATGGTTTCTGGGAATAATAAGGGAGGAGCTCACAATGTACTTTTTTCATTTATTGTTTGTGAATAATGAATTCATTCTCTAAAGACAGGATTGGTTTGTGATTGTATCTGATATAAAAAACAAAGGCTAGGTTCATTGTACAATTTATTCACCACAGCTGACATTTATTCCCTTTTACATCAGAGCAAAGTGTTTTTTCTGAAAGTGAGTGAGATGTAAGTGGTCTGCAGGACTTTCTTGACTCACTAGTCATTAATAATGTGATCATTACTGCTTAAGGTCCCATGTTACAGATTTTTTTGTACTTGTAAAAAGTCAAGGGTAAGAATAAACTGATGTATTATGGAACAAAGCTAGAAACATCAAGCGTATTTTGTGATTTGTGTGCACTGTAAGGAAATAATTTAGAAGAATCTTCTTAACATAACCATCTTGGTATATTTTTCTTCTCTTAGTAGTGTGTAATTTTTTCTTGTTGTAGTTTCTTTTAAAATAAATTTCACAAGTTTCTTGCAAGTAATATAGGATAAGAAAGGCTTCTTAAAATATTTTTCTAATTGTGTTTTCTCTGTACAATGCTGTTCTCCACTGTCAGCACTGGAATGTGTTTCATGCCAAGAGCACATAAGAGCTTTTCCATGTTTTTGTGGCAGCCTACTTAATAAGCTTGCACAAGGCCCCAAAAGGGTTTTCGATTATATGTGTTAGCTTTAATCTTGGCCTTCTTTCTATAAAAGTTCTGGAAAAACTACGTGTGTAAATCGGAAATCTAGAAACTTTTGACCAAAAATTTCCCATGCAGCTCATACTTTAGAGACTATATGCTTTATGCCCTATGCATTGTAGAAACATAGTTTATTGAAAAATGCTTGAAGACAATTTTATGTAATGATATTCTGAAGTACAATACTGCTTTGCAAAAGTGGCATCTTAAATACAGACTTTGAGGATTTCCTGATTTATGATTTCCAATTTGTATCTGCTTTGTCTTCACAAATAAATGTTTTTCATTAGATGCCTATGTCACAAAATTGGGTTCTAAATTGAGCTAGATTCTCTATGATCCAATGGTCAAAACTATATCCTTTTGATTAAATTGAGTTGCTGTGAAACTCAAGGGAAGCAGTCCAAGAGAAGCTCAGTGCAGAGCTAGGGCCACAGTGAGACTGCCTGATGATATAGTAAAAACAAAACACATTGTAATCCTGCTTTCTCTTGTTCCTATTTGGGAAGGTTTTCCACAAATGAGGAGTAGAATTTTTTTCAGAACATGCACTGTACATGTAAAATTATATTTTGCTTGGAATCAGGTCTCTAAAGGAGATGCTGTCTTTTTGTTTTATGATTTTGTGGTATCTTTGAGAATTAACTGTGTACAGCAACAAAAGGTCCTATACATAAAATATCACTAAAATGCAACATTAGTTATGTACATATAGAAGGTACAAGTTCTGAAGTTGTCTTCCAACAAAGCAGTATTTTTTCCTTTAAAGGTTTCAGTTTTTACATTCTCAGTGAATGTAGTGTAACTTGTTTTGTCTTCCTAGATCTGGAACAGGTTATATCAAAACTAAATCTGCTGCAGCTGCCCTAATTGCCCTTTCAGGAGACGCCCTACTGGCTAAATACAGAGGTAGGAAATGTGTGATTTTATACACTGCCCAAAGTACTGAACATTGAGAAAAATCTCCATTGTAATTTTCTTTTACTTTAAAAGAGAACACAGTTCTGCCATGCAAAATGTATGGTTGGTTCTAGAGAAAGGCTGATGCAGAATAATACTTTTCTATCAATGTCTGTAGCCACCTTTGCATAGTCTTAGAACAAGTCATAGTAGTTTAAGATAAGTGGAGCTTAAAAACGAAGGCCAAGTTCTATTTGCCTAGCAGAAAAGAACAGAAAAACCTTGGGTTTAAATCTCATCGGATTAGAAAGAAATTTTATGTATTTGATCCAGGAAGCTTTTAGAGACCTCTTAACATTAGACAAAAGTGATTACAGAACTAAGTATAACAGATAAAGGTGGCCTAGTGCAATGTGCAGCACAAAGATTTCTGTCTGAATGCTGAAAATGGAGAACAAATGAACTACAAGTGGCGTATTGGCCTCATACTCTTCCACTGCATACTGTGTATTTGTTTCCAAATTATAATTTGGAATTTAAAAGTCACAATTTAAATAGTGCATAGCTTGTATAAATGTATTTAAATATTTTTCTTACAGCCATGAAAATGAGTGTGTTGTTCCCTTCAGTCTTACCTGTTTTAACTGCGAGGAATAAGAAATTGCCGTAATTTCAGTGCTTTTCTTCTCTTTCACGTTCCTGTAGGAAGAAAGTATTGTCACAGCAGTCACTGAGTAACTGTTAAATAGACAATAAAGGGGAGCTTTCTTGATGGGTTTATTTTGTAGGCTGCAATTATCATGTAGGTAGTTTGAGAATAAATAGATAGAAGACACTTCAGGCTCTGCCAGGATTCCAGTTTCTTTTCCTTTGGTTGTTTTCAGCTTTCTTCCAGTTTTATGCTGTCCCTGATGGGAATGTGGCCTTGATTACCCGTAGTGCCCTGAGAAGCCTACTAACAGACTTAAATCAGGTAATGCCGCTGCAGTGCTGTTACACAACAGATCTTGTAGGATCCTAATCTAAGAGAAAAAAATACATGGTTGATATGTATTATGTTTGATGACATTAGGGGACTGAAGTCACTAAGTCAGTCTGTGGATATGGGGAGCTACCATGCAAAGTAGGCAAAAATAATCAAATTCTGTAGATTTTGGCAGTCAGAGTACTCTTATCGGTGCCTCTGTGCATGCATTTTCCCTGATCTTACAGGTCCTGGGAACAGCTGGATACAGCAGTTTCTAAAGTGACTCCAAACTTCACATTTCTATATTCACTAAATAGCTTGCAGTTGCAGAAAAATGCTATACCATGCAGGTGTTGACAGCTGAACTGGCACTGAAAATGTGATCTGAAAATGACCCCTGAGGTCCAAACTCAGTATCCTTTAGTATTCTAGTGTGGCAACGTAGTATGTTAATCCATTTCAGTTAGTGAGCTGGGTGCAAATCATTCTGACACATACTGAAATATGAAATTGCACACTGATTGTATGAATATGAACAGGTTTTCTCCAGAACAGTAAGTAAAATGGCATTTCCATAGACGCTTCACCATCTGTGTGCTGTCACCATCTCAGCAGAGCATGATGGGAACATCTGTTTTTTTACTGAGGTGTTTCTGAGCGTTTCATCTTTATGCAGATCCCAGCCGTTGTGGGAGAAAGCTGCACTCTGTCTTGTGTGGAAATTGCTATTCACAGCTGTTTCCATGGGGTGAGTGAAATTTTGATGTCCTGGAAAATTATTTTGGCTGTTGCTGATTGGTTAAAATTGCAAGCTTATCACCATATGACATCCACTGGTATCTACCTTAAGGGACGCGACTGTTCTTCAGTCTCACAATACAGAAGAATTTGTATCTATAGGAGAGATCCTTGTTAAGATACTACTGAAGATTCTTGCATTTATTCCAAAACTTTGTAACCCAGTAATGCTTTACATGAATGGAAAATCTTTGCTAGCAGAGTCCAGTATTAGAGCTTTTATTAGGAACTAGCAGTAGATGAGGCACCAGTTCTTTTCAAGTAAATGACTGAAATTGAGATGTATTTTTTTCCAGGTTCTGAATTCAGCAATTATAGAAGAAAAATTCCTGTCTTGGCTGATATCAGAGCCAGCTGTTCTCCTGTGGCTCCCTACAATCTACAGGTTATCAGTTGCAAAAATGGTTTCTCACCAAGCTAGATGTAGAATCTGCAAAATTTTCCCCATTACAGGCCTCAGGTGCGTCAGGAATTACTGTAGTCTATAGCATCCACATAAATAGTTCTTGACCATTGTTTGCGTACCTTGCAGGCTCTAACTGCCGTGTTAAGTAACAAACTTAGGACATAATTGAATTTAACAACTAAGATAGGAAAAGAGAGCACCATTGCAGGCTAGTGCTCAAGCCTGCATCCTGCTTCTCCTGAGTTCACTAGTACAGACATTATTATGGAGACTTACTGACAGTAAACTGGCAGTTCAATAGTAAAGCAAATTAAACCTGTATCTCATTTCTGCGTGCTCAAAAATGGTGCTAGACCAACTGTTTCTTCCTTGGACTGAATTTAAATACAGCAGATAAATAATATAAAAATCATTAGTGGTCTCTAGAGGATAGCTGCTGTCATTTGGACAAAATAACTGTTGCATTCAGAGAATGCTGAGGCAAGTCATTATTCTAGCAAATATACTCTGCATCTCAGAACCCAGGGATCTAAATTTCTAGTAATCAAGCTCACTTAAACCAAGTTCTTACTTGTGGGCAAGTAACTTAATCTTAATCCTTCTGTGTTCCCTCACAGGTATCGCTGTATGAAGTGCCTCAATTTTGACCTTTGCCAAGAGTGCTTTTTCACTGGCCGTCTCAGGAAGCCACATAAGAGGTCACATCCTGTTGTGGAACACTGTGTGCAGGTAGGGTCCCCTTGTACTGATTATTTTCCCCCTTCAGGTTCCTCAGGTAGGCAGTAGACTCTTGAACTTCATTGATTATGAAATTATGCTTGTATTAGCCATAATGACCATGACATATTAGCATTACTAATCTAGGAACAGTCAGGGAAAGGAAAAAGGGAGGCTTCTAACTTCAGAAGGAGTGTTTTGTTCTGAAATAACTGAATAGAGCCATGAAATGTCATAGTACAAGTTCTTTTCCCAAGGAGCTGTATGGCAAGTTTGCCATTTACAGATCATCCTTAAAACTGTATAAAGGGCCTTCAGTGTGTCCCAGTGCTCCTTCCTCCCAGTCACAATGTGGGCTCATTCAGAAATTAATTAATCCTAAAGTTGTACAAATTCCTGCATTAAATTTTCTTTATTCAAAGCTTTTCCACTTTATTGTAAGTTACTTGGATCATTTGTCTCTGACAGTTAGGGATACAGCACAAAGAGGCAGCATGGGCCAAATTAAGCTCACCTACTTGGGTTCAATTACAGGGGCAACTTGTGCTTTCATCACACTAGTGCAAGGTTCAACACTTGGAATTGGTGTATGGAAGATCAGCTTCTCCTATGAGGAGGAGATTCCAGATCTTGCACACAGCATCAGACAGATTTTTGGGTTTGTTTGGGGTTTTTTTGTGGATCTATAGAACAGTATTTTCTTCTGTTCCAGTAAATGAAAAAAACACCCATGAAAGTTTCCCTACTGAGCTGCACTTCATGGTCTCTTTCCTGAAACCCTGCACTTAACATGAAAGGTATCTGGGTAGCCAATGTCTGCACCAAAACTAAAGAATGTTAGACTCCTTTTGCAGTCACTCTTTGTCTGGAGGAACATTAAATTGTAGCCACTTCATTGCTCTCTTTCAGAAAACCAAACCCTGTTGCTGACACACTAAGAAACTATATCTGAATGCTCAGTACTTGCATTAAAAAATAACAGATAGATGTTCATTCCTCCAAGTATTCTTTCTCATTCCCCATCTCTGAGAAAACGGAAGAATCAAATTTCAACTGATTCCTTCATGTGGAGTTTTCTCATAGAGACATTAAAATCAGTATGAATGGAGAGTGAATGGGAGTGTGTGGATGTGGAAGCACCAGAAGGAAGGGCAGGAGGGATATAACAAGGCAGGAGATGATGTAACCTGGATTAGCTGGTGAGCAAGATCACAGCACTCCCACACAGCTTCTCAGGACAACAAATCAGGAAAACAAAAGGTAGCCCACAACAAAGGTTAAACTGCCAGTTGAAGATGCTGTCACAAGAGATGATGACAGGAAGGTAAAGAATTAGGCTTGTAAGCATAAAACAATAAATAAGCAGAAAAAAGATCACAGTCACTGCCAGCTCCTAAAGAAGCTAAAGACATCCAAAAACCAGCACATGGTCACACTAAGAGTAACCTAAGAGTAACCACGGAGGCTTAAGGAAAACTGACATCTCTTGTCCTCCAAGTCCTTATAGTCATACAATGTGTATACTCACACACTTTGGTGTGTGAGTGCTGGAAAGACTATTTGGACACATATATTAGTGCTTATGAGTCAGTATGAGGGAGTTAAGTCAATTTTGTTTTAAAATGAAGTCCCCTTTCTCACTTATATACTGACATTGAGTTTTCCCACGCTGTTGCTGCATGGCAACTGGATCATGGAACTGAGGTTTTCCTTATGAAATCCTACTCTAACACAAACCCTGTAAATATTACTTCTGTGGCCAAAATCTATACCAAAATTTAAAAGATCGGCTACTCACTATGACAAATTGCATTTCTATATTTGTAATGTGGGACATAAAAGAATCACTATTAAGTCACTTTTTCCATACCTTCTGCTCTTAGCAGATGCTGTCCTGGCTGGGTAAGTTTTCACATTGTCTCTATCAGGGAGTGGGCTGCTAATTGGGGATTTAAAGTATCAGCACTGTTTTTCCTTACCGTGCTGACACCTTGTGGTAATGTAATTACTACGCTGAGAAACGAGTAGGAGGCATGTTGTGTTGTCTTTGTTTTTCTGTTCAGTCTGTTAGGGCTCCCCCCATGTTCTGCAGCAGTCATTTGCTATGGAAGAATTGGTTTGTGTCCTCCTGTAACACAGCTACTGAACTTAGTTGTTGTACCTGAACCTGACAAGCCTGACACTGCTGTGACAAATGAAAGTGTTTTTTACTATAGTGTACAAGAGGAGGACTTGAGGCACAGAAAGCTGTATCAATTGCCACTTCATACAAGTATAAAAGTACTTATTCTCCTTGATCAAGAGTAAACTTAATTACAAGTCAGGCAGAATTACCGTTGTGACTGTAAGCTTAATCATTGTAATCACCAAAATCCTGCATTAAGTAGTTGCAGGTTGCCTGAATTTGGCCCATGCAAAGTGCTTTGCTTACCAAACAGAATTGGAGCTGCTTTTGTCTGCGGTTCTGTGTCATCATCCATCTCAGCTCCCCTTCTAGGGCTCAGACAGCAGCTGTTAACCTCTTCAGGTGGACAGGTGGACCTTTGCTTTTTTATGCCTCTGCCTTGGACTGTGTCTACTTCACTCCTTATTTTATTACTTCACTCCTTACTTAATCCCTCATTCCAATAGATGTCAGCAAAGGCGAATGCAAAGCACTTTCTCCACACCATCAGGAACAACCTGTTTCAAAAACACTGCAGGAAAAAGGAGGCTCAGAGAAGGAGGGCTTTGGAAATAATGGAGGAGAGGAACTTCCCTACTCACAAAAAGACTGTGTGAGTTTCTATTTCCAATGAGTTCATAATCTCTGAGTAATATATCAGGCTGTGCAATATTGCTTGATTATGTCCTTTGAGTAAGTGATTTTGTAATTACAGTCATTATTTTTCCATTAAAAAGGGAAAACATAAATGGAAAATTTCTGTTCATTGTTCTGTAGCTTAACCATGATTACTATGCTGACAACCTAATGACCAGTTGTCTTATAAAATACAGCATGCCTGTGTCTTCATTCACTCCTTTATGTCATAGCCAAGCATTTCAATATATCATTAAAATCAGGCTTATGCTGAAGTCCTTTCCTTTTTCAACAAAAATACACAGGACTATGTTTTAAGTGCTTTGTTGAACTAAGGCCCAAGGTCTAATTTCCTTTATTTATCTTAGATACAAAATGGCTAAAGGAAGGGGACAAATCTTTCCCTCCATGCCTTTCCTTATGTTCAGTCTAAGGCCAAGCATTGCAAATATTTAGTACCTGTCAGAATTGCCCAGGTTTTTAAGTACACCACATGTGACCTGCAGTGCATTCCCTGACAGTCGTTCTACTGAAGTCCCACTGAATTGCAGTCCTATGGGCTTACTCAGAATGACTAGCTGATCCCACTGTTCCAGTTCTTTCAATTCAATTTTTTTGTGTGTGCTTTTAGTTAACATGGACATTCATTACGGTATTTCTACTGATTACAGTGGTTATTAATGAACATTGGAGATTGTGTTATAATTTTCTTGCTCTGAGATTTTGGTTGATATTTGGCTGTAGAAACTGAGGAGAGTTGTATGAGATAAGCACTACAAGCATATGAGGGGTGAGATTCCTTCCTACTTGTATAAAGACCTAGCAATTCTCTTGCATCTCACGTGTTCTCCAAATGAGGCTTCGGTGAAACTGAAATAGGAAAAAAATAATCACTCCTCTCTGAAAGAGTTAATTAATCGTTACACACAGGAGAAAAATCTGTTTGTTAAACTTGATTGTGCTATGCTGCTAGGTAAGTACATGGCTGTTGGAAACCAATTTTTATGTACAGCAAGATGAGTAGATGATACTTACAGTGATTCTCACGGAGGTTATTATTTCAATGTTTGTTTAGAATGTGGTGAAATGCAAAACATTTTCCATTGCTAATATTTCCCCACTTGTATTCAGCAACAAAAAATCTTTTTTTTCATTTTGAATGTTATCTAATCCTGTGAGCAATCAGAATTTCTCTGTAACTCTATGAGGTTTTGTTTACCTAGTACTTGGGTAGCTATGAGAGAGAGAATTTGGGGTTGCTGTTACAGATGTCACTGTGGGGCTTTTCGTAGCATAGAATGGACTGAACAGCAGCATATCTGGCCCTTTGCTGTCTTTTTGTAGTTGAATTTCCCAAGATACTTAGATCTTGGCTAAAGGAAGCAAAAAAGAAAAGCAGCAAATTGCATTGATACTAAATAGGTTGAAAGAAGAACCTGTTGTTGAGATTAGAGTGAAATTTTTGAGAAGAAATTTAATTCTTTCAGCCAAAATATGCCAGCTAAACTGTACTTCTTACTTAGTCAATAGCACAGCTGTCTGTCTACTTGTAGTGCATTAGCTTTATTTTGATCCTTCTGGGTACCAAAATGAAGTAAGGCTTGATCCTTTCTCCACTCATTATTTCTCTGTTGATATACAGTACCCCAGAACTCAGTGCTTCACCACTACCTGGCCCTGAAAACCTGTCTTTCCCTGTGGACATACCAGACCAGGAATCACCCAAATTCATATCCGAAAACAGAACTGTAATGCCGAAGAGTGAGAATAACAACAAGAGACCACAGCAAGGCAAGACAAAAGCTCAGGTGAGTAAAACATGAAGCTATAATAGTGCTAAAGCTATGAAGAAGACTGACCAAGTTAACTAATTGTCAGTTAACTAGTTACCAATGAAAGTGAAATGTAATGGGCAGCTTCACCTTTCTGTTAAATTGCTCACTTCTGGAAAAAAAATCTGGAAACTGAAAACATTGTGAAGCTTGAATTTGATACTCTCCCAATATTAGTGGCTAACTCCTTGACTTCCATAACTTTCAGAAGCATTTGTAATAATAGTCGCTCTATTACTTTTTTCTTTTTGAGTTGTCTTAGAGTAGCACACTAAAGACTAGCAAAGACTGCAGTCCTCTCTCTATTCTGCCAGGTAAAAAATGCCATCATGTCCTTCTACTGCAAGCAATTGCCAAGGAAGGATGCCTTAATTCTTATTAGGCTCAGGCCATTTTTGTCACCATGGCAATAGCAAGAGGACAAAAGGGGCCCTTCTTAAGGATAAATCCAGAGTTGTGTGCACTCCAACAAAAATAGCTCATGTATAAAAGCTCTCCAGTAATCCATTTCCAGGTTCCCTGCATAGAAGGAGTGGGTAGGACAGTATAGACCAAAAAAAAATTACATAGCAGTTTTTTTTTTCTATATTTGTTTGAGAGGTGGCTAGCTCTGCATATACTCGGAATAGAGGGAACACTAGGTTGTGTTCAAACCTTCATGTGTCATCCGCTCATCTTGTTCTTCCCAGAAGCCAAGGGATGTAGTAAATTGGAACTACCCTATGCATGTCAGGTCACTCCTTCGGCTGCTGCTATCCTTTGCAGCCCCTTGGAAGACACGTCTTTTAGGATTCTGCTGCCCAGCTCCAAGTATAGTGCCAGTGAGCACGTCTGTAGGAGAGATTGTGGGCAGACATTGCATAACCATATCATTTTGATGGCTGGCATTTGTCATTTCAGAAGACAGCAAGATGGGACTTGCATCCCTGTGGTGGGATCCTGCTACGTGAATTGCTCTCTTGTTCTTTTTCTTTCTGGTCTGAGAATTCTGAGAAGTTTTATATTGAATTCAAATACATTGTAATGTGGATTATTTCAGTATTGCTTAAAAAGATGCAGACTGCAAGTTCAATGATAGCTTTTAATAGACTACGTAAGCTTGGAGGTCCTGGGAACCCATCTCTTAGTCCCATAATTTTTTACAGCCCTTATTCCAGCCCAGCTTATACCATACCTCTAAAGCAGTTTACCTGGAAAGTGTTCACCTCCCTACCTTCTGGGTGAATGTCCCCTGCATGGCCCAAAGACTGCTACTTCCATACAAAGACCAAGAGTTTTTCTTTTCTACATCCAGCCTTTCCCTCCATCTCCTTGTCCCAAACCAAAGGGCCTGGATATTCCCAAATTGGAATATTCCTTTTTGCAGAAATTCCAGGGAATGAGGTTTTTGTTCTCGTCTAAATCAGAACAAATTCTCATATGCTTAGTTGATGCAATCAGTTGCATAAAATAAGTGAACTAGTAAATACGTAAAACAGACCGAATCCCAAATTTGTCATGGCCTCTTACAGCAAAATTGCCATGCCTTCTTATAGCAAAATTTAATTAGAAAATTAAATGTTATTGCTGATAAAATTATAAACAGATACTTTATTTTATTATAGGAAATAGCCTCTTTTGAAGAAGCTGTGATAAATATGCATGAATCCATGAAAAGCATTCACAGTGAGAGCAGGTAGGTAAATGCTGAGTACAGTAACTTAAGACTGGTGGGCAGTGAAGAGCTAGAAGACAAATGATTTTTCCATACTTTAGAGATTTTAAAATAATAACAATCCTGTCTAAGGGGGATGAATGGTTCAGTGTCCAGGTGGAGGCAAGTGATGAGTGGTATTCCTTAGGGGTCAATATTGGGACCAATGCTGTTTAACATCTTTGTTGGAGACACAGATAGTGGGATTGAGCGTGTCCTCAGCAAGTTTGCTGATGATACCAAGCTGTGTGGAGTAGACACCCTAGAGGGAAGGGACACCATCCAGAGGGACTTAGACAGGCTGGAGTGGTGGGCCAGTGCCAGCCTCATGTTGGCAAATTCAACAAGGCCATGTGCAAGATCCTGCACCTTGGCTGGTGCAACCCCAGGCACCAATACAGGCAGGGGGAGAATGGCTAGAGAGCACTACCAAGGAAAAAGACTTGAGGCTGGTAGTAGATGAGAAGCTTGACTGATCTTTAAGGTCCCTTCCAACCTTAACCATTCTTGGGTTCTATGATTCTATGAGTGATAAAAACTCAGCAAGAGAGATCAGTGGAAAAATAATATCTAGCAAAACAAAACATTTAGGTTTGCTTTCATCAGCATTTCTGCAATTGTTAGTTTACATTTCTAAAAGACATTTTTAAAGGAAAAAATGTTCACTCATAAAAATATTAAAATAGCATACTTTAAAAAAAAATTATCTGAATAAAGCTTAATGAAAACAAATTTCATAATTTCCATTAAGTTTTTAAATCAAAGTAGGATGTTTTTCTTAAAAATATGCTGTAAACAGAATAGAATTTACAGGCTTATTACAGTAACTATTCATAATAATTCCATGACTGAGCTTATCACAGAAGTGATAGACACTTTGGATATACAAACGTTATAAAATATTAATTCCTATAATACAAATTTATTGAGTGTTTTTTTGGTTGTTTTTGTTTGAGGGCTGTTGGTGTATGGGCAACCATGCTTACCTTTTTCTTTCACTTTTGCTTTCCTCTCCTTCATTTTTGTAGTTACAGTTGCATGTGCTGTAGATTTAATCATGTGTGTGACCACTGAAACTAAAGTAATTAGAGTGAGGTCTAGAATTTCATCATTAATCTGCCCTCTTTTTTTCCTTCAGTATGTTCTGTTCTGTCTGTTCCTGTTTTGTTTAATTCTAGTAAGTCAATGTACAATTGCTGTTCCAAATTGACACAAGGACACTCCAAGACTAAAGCAAAACAATTGCAGTTTCATTGTAAGTCTGTGTCCCTCACTTCAGTCTCACATGGGAAAATAAAGAGATATGGCAAAGATCTTTCTTAAGCTTTCATTTGGATTATCAATAGTTGACAGGATATCTGGGAAGCCTGCTTCTGAAGTACTGCATCACCCTCCAACCCAGAGCTTATCATATAACTGGGTGAATGAATCACAGTACTCATGGAAAGCTTTTCTTATTTGTGGATCAAGTTCCAGCATTTATGCGTCTGTTCACAGAACTGGGCTCTGAGTTAGTTGAAGGCAGTCAGCATTTTGCAGTAAAAACCCATTAAATAGACCTCTAAAGGTCCCTTATAACCCCTGCTATAAGGGACCACTGTAATACTAATTTTAAACTGTCTGACTTGCTGACCAATTCAGATGAATCTTTCATAATTCCAGTGAAACTGATGGGGCTGTTGCCTGTTAGCCAATGCATACCCAAATGAAAGTGAATCAGATGAACTTGTGTGGTATGAATGTGTGGTATGAAGCAGTTAGTTTATTTCTGTAATGTTAACAAGCTTTTCTGCCTGTCTCCACCTCAGCTATATGGAACACAAAAATGTATTTCTACCCCAGCTTCTTAGAGAAATTCCATGTTTATGTGATATAGCAAAATTCCCATTCTCCTGTATCCTTGGCAGGTATATGAAGAAGCAGTTCAACACATGGAAGGACAAAATGCAATTTCTTTACAACTGCCAGGAAGATAAAAGCTGCAAAATAGAGGCAAAGCTCCAAAGCCTGAGAGCAAGCCATGAAAACCTACAAATGAAGCTGCAACAAATGAAGGAAGAAATAAAGGTATAATGATAAATATACCAAGAATCTTCACAGCTATAGGCAATTATTGCAGACTACTACCTTTCCTGCAGACCAACACTCTTGATACTATTTAATGCATCTTCTGCTTGGCTGCTCAGTCATATTAGGTTCTTGTCTTCAGAGAAGATGGGCTCTTTGCAACAGTGATTTTCTTGTCATTCTGTATGTATTTAGCATCTAGAACAGATACCCGTGTCTGGGATGTTTAGATACTACTGCAATGAGAATAATGAGAGGGTATTGCAATAAGAGTGAGAAAATGGTCCAATAGAAGTGTTAGATAATTAATTGCAGTCTTTTGTGTAAATAATCTTATGTTTGCATTGAATAAATCACGTCTTTTGTTATTCCTAGTGCTGTCTTGTACTGGGATGAAATATAGACCTTTTACAGAAAATAATTTATTTATTTTCAATTGTATTGATTCTTGTTCATTTAGCATCTCTGAAGTTCTAAAAAGGCCCTGTTTCACAAGGAATGCATACATATTTGCCATCTACAGCATTCTGGTAGCATTTTCTGAGATGCTGGTTTTAGAATGCTTTTCAGGGCTGGTCAAACATAGAGGAAATCCAGACATATCAGCAGTGCACGCTTGATCAGCTGTGTATCACATGCACATGGAGTCCAGTATGACCTGGCATGTCATGCCATCCTGTGTGTGTGCTGTGATGCCAGCCTGCCCACAACATGCAGTACTGGCTGCACACATGCAAGTAAGTGTCCAGTGCCTGGATGGTCAGCTCAGTGCTCCTCAGTTACATCAGACTCCACGTTCATGCGGTGGATTTGCCATTATAGTTCTGTGTAGAAAATGACAAGTACAGTTGTAGCACTGACAACTGATCTAGTTTTGGAATTTCAAATGTTAACAGTTGTGAGGTGTTTGATATGTGTTTCATATACACATTTTTTTTCCCCTTAATTTAAATATTTTAGAACAATCTGCTGCAAATTTACTCCTGGAACATTATTATTCTCACTTTTAAATCACATTAAAGTGTATAATGTCTTCAGATTGTAATTGTGGAAAAAACATAGATTTGTCCAAACTCAAATATAAAGTTTTATTTTATTGCAGGAAAATATTTTGTTTGTGAAAAAATCAGTTTACTTCACCAGAAATTAAATTAAAAAATTATTATGACCCTAAATTATTTTTTTACCTGTTTTAGGACTACCAGCAAACCAAATTATCACGTATTTTTACAATATAGTTTCTGTGTTTTGACTATTACAGACAATGTTACAGTCATCAGAATGTCAGAATATGATGCCAAGAAATCCTTATGTCATGCTGGAAAGGAGAATGCAAGGTGTATTAAATCCTGCCCAGATAAGGCCTGCTTCCAGAACATGTGCAGACTGGAGATCTTTGAATCACCCCAACTCTGCCAATAGAACGGAGCTTTTACAGACTCTTGAGATTCCCACTGCAGAGGACTTCGTGTTTTCAGAAGGCACACAGATGTCAGTGGCTTTGCAAAGTGACGCACCTTTTATGAGACAGTATAAAATAGCAAAAGGGACTCAAACATATTTATCTGAACTGACAGAAAGCTCCCTCAGCGGCACCATGAGGAATACAGTTCTTACTCCCACTGCAGTGCAGATGCCACCTGAGGAGACAGATGTCAGTGAGGAACTGGAACTGGAACTGCAGCAGCTAGTGATAAAACTGAAGGATGCATTGTCGCTCCAAGCCCAACCAGGTATAAGTTCTCCTAGTTATCTTGACGCTGTCTTCTCTCATTTGTCCAGTTTACTCTGTGATGTTGTTCATAATCATTCAACCCTTAGAGGAAACTCAGAATCATGCCTCTGCCACTGTAGAAGTGCTCTGACTCTGTACTGTAAGGAAGAAAATATTCCTATAAGGTGGAATATAGCCCCTAACAGACTAATTTGAAAGAGGATGAGTCCAAGCACATAATAGGAAATTGGTCTCAGCAGTCAATTAAGGAGCTAACTTAAACTGTTTAAGACACTGGAGGTCTTTTCTGTTGCCACTTCTGTGACACTGTGACTCTGGTTCCAGGCAGACTTACAGATTCACAAAATCCGTTTGTAATCAATGGTCTTACACAGAGCTTTGTTCAACACTCAGAATGCCTCACTTCTGATAATGAGGATGTAAAAAGGAGAATAAGAGAAAAAGCTGCTGTTTCTACAGAGTTATCTTAAATTAGAGATTTATAGAGGTTTTCAGGGCTCTGGCAGCATCCAAATGCTCTGAAAGATTTAAAATCTCTTTTGCTTTTCAGCTCAACAGTCTGCTTTGCAACAGGAGTTCTTCTCTACAGCTGAACATGTATGCAGATCCTTTTCTGATCTCATCAACCAAGTAACTTCACCAGCTTGTAAATGATAGAAACTACCATCCACCTTACAGCTTTGCTGAACTATTGAAGGTAAATTATGACATGTCAGACTCTTTAAAGTGTCTCAGATGTTGTATTTTAACAACTCAACAGCTTTTTGTGTTTACTGACTTCACCAGTCACTGTTAATTATTGTTAGAGAATGATGTTCCTTTTCTATTGGTGTTTTCCAGCTCCTGTGCAGTAGATGTTGGCCCAGCTGATAAAAAGCAGCATTTCTTCATTAATCTTACACTGGCTTTCATGACCATCCTGTCCTGTCCTCTCTTCTTAGTGCTATATAATCAGTATATTTTATATATATATATATATATATATATATAAATCAGTAATGGCTCCTTTTTCAGCAACACTTATTTTTTACCTGAGAATTAGCTTGAGTCAATGGGTTTTGGTGATGTGTTTTCCATCAAATAATTTTTCTTAGACTAAAGGAAGGAACAAGTTCTTAACTATCAGACTTCTCAATTCTTGATATTTACATAATTTTTTCAAACTACTGAATTCATATTTAAAGGAAAAGATGCTTTGAACATGCAAAGGAACTTGATTGCTTTGGAAGGGCCTTTCCATTATTGATTAACTTATATATTAGTATAGAACGGTTAATAAGAATGTAATGTTTAGTATAGAATAGAATATTATTTTACCTCCAGCATGTAAAATATGAGAAAAATATTTTTCCTTGGTTACTAGTACTTAGTATTTGATGGAATGTATCTAAAATTTCCAGAGTATTAAAAATACTTGTGAAGCCTGTATACACATATATAGTCATATGTATTCATGTAAGAAAACATGCAAGGAAATTGCCCAAGGTAGGTGTTCCTTTAGGAACTTTATCACTTGCAAATTTACATTAATTGCATCCCCCTTTTTATTTCAGCACAGTTAATAACACAGATTTTCTCCTTTCCATCAGCAATTTCCGAATGTTCTCTGCAGTGTGACTTATGCTACAGATTTATCTGTTTTCTCAGTCTTACCTTCATATACTAATCCTTTCCTGCCTGTTTCCTCAAAGGCCAAATGTTGCTACAGCCTGTTAATAAAGAAGCTGGCTGAAGCAGACAAGTTTGCAAATTTGTTTAAGCTAGACATCAGCTTGGCCCATATTGGTATTTCACCATTGCTGTTGCTTTCTGAAGAGAGGAAGAAAGCTTCCAGCAACCCTTTAGTAGGGCATCCTGTTGTTATAGGCAGGATGTGTCTCAAGTGGAAACACTAGCCTCTTCCCAAAGAGCCCTGTTGATACAATCTGTCTGGTCTTACATTTTCTAGCACATGGGAACAGGTAACATCTTGTCTACTGCAATACCAATCCTACTTGGCTGAGGCATCCAGCCCTTAACATGCTCTTTATCAGTTGCTGGTTTTAGTAGTTGTAGGGACAGTGGGTGAAGACTATGAGTGTTAATACAAAGCTGTGCACAATGGGGCTTTTAGATATATTAACATAATTTAGATAATTAACAACAGGAGTGAGCAGATATGTTGTAACAATGCTTATCTCCCTCTCACACGATAACAGAGCACTCTTGTAGGCGGTGGTTGCAGGCAGAGGCAACCGAGAGAGGGTGTTGCTGAGATCACTAAACAGTGTTCCTGTGCTCATCCTGCTTTAGTGTTCCCTGCTCTCTTGAACATTTGAATGGTTTGTTGCATACTTGACTCTAAGCCCAAATTCAGTGCCATTGAAGGTGATAGCCCTCTTACCATTCTTAGTGTGCTTCCCTAAGATCAGGATTTCACCCAATGGAACTATGTTTAGGCTTTATTTTGTTAAGTCTCAGTAACCATTTTAAGATTTCATTTACATGTTTTGCTACTTGGACCTATTTCTTCAAGCTGGTTAATATCCAGCAAATTAGTTTTTCTTTGGGCATTTGAAAAACCAAAAAACAACCAAATATTGTCACACGCACAAGGAAAGAAACTTGGAATGAACAAATAAATGTATTTGCATTCAGCCAGCCAGCAGTGAAAGTATTTCATCAAAGCCTCAAGTGTTACCTGCCCAAAGTTATATTGCATTATTTTAATATCAAATTGCCTATTAGAATTATCAGTAACACTCAGAGGAAACAGATTTGTCTACAGAGAACTTGCAAACTAAAAAAGAAGCAAATTCAAGTTACGTATGAGAATTCTTTTGATTAAACACTTTTAAGTAAGAATGTGCAACATTTTAAGGGACATTTTTGTAACTAGAAATTTAGGGGAGATACTGTAAAAATATAATGTGAAAGCAGACAAAGGAGCTGGTATAACATGCTAACTCTTTTTCTTTCACTGGAAAACTGAAAACATTTTTTAAGGTTTTAAAATATAAAAATATGTACTATTTTTCTTTAGTAGGATGATGTCTTTCATCAGTGTTGCTTTGGAGGATCTTGGGAACTTCCTGTTCTGCTGGTCTGAGTCTTGTTGAAGACACAGATCAATTTCTTCCTGTTTTGGCACCCACAAGACAATAGTTTCAATAGGTTACATGCATTGCAAAAAGCCTGATGTACACACAGAATAAAATAGGCAACTGCTTATAAATCATGCAATGTGTTTAAGGAGACTGAATTCATAGGCAATAAAAAACTCAAAAGTCCAAGTTAGTCAGAGATACAGAGCTCATAGTTACAGGTCTTCTTTCACCGTGTGAATTAACATTAATGAGGATTAAAATGCAGAAAATAAACAGCAGTAGTTAAAAAATATCTACAAATCTGGATCTTGGACTAAGTGTGCAATTTCCTCTTTTTCCCTAGCTCTCCAATGATTCTTCCAAGCAATCTAGAGTTACTTCTATGCATGTGGATACTTGTTAAATCTTCAAATGAGTCTTTCTTCTTCAGTGACCTCTGAATATGAGAAAATATCCCTGAAAAGTGACATGAAAATGCATATAAGTAATAAATTCTCAAACAGCAAAAAGCAGCTGAATACTCAGTTTCCCACATCCTTTTTTCCACTGTCTCTAGCTGCTACTGGTCCCCATTAGCCATATCCCTCCATTTGCAAGTTTGCCTTTCAGTGACAAGTTACTTTGATCTTTTCCCCAGCGTGGGCCTTCATTCTTCCTATAAAACTCTTCCACAAGTCTGCTCACAGTCTTACTGACTCACTGGCTTGTTGTCAACCTCTTTGCACAGTGGAGGAGATCTCTCACACGGTTTAGTAGCACGTTTGTTACTTTCTTGAGGAAATACAGGGCATTTTCTTTGCTGTGACCTTCAAAAGCCAGCAGTTTGGCTTTATTTCTTTTAGATACATTTGTCTTCTGAAAATGTAAGTGGGTAACACAGTATCTGTTTATTTACCAGACAACAAATGTATAGTACAGCAACCTTTGTCCCACTCCCCTCCCTGGCACCCTGCAGCCCTGCAGGGGTAGGAAGCAAGTATGTACCTAGCAATTGAGCCAGGTGCAAGGGCCGATCTGAGCCCCATTACCTGCACCTGGGAGGGAGGTGTGCACAGCTGTGGCCACTCCAATTGGCAA